CTAGCTAAACCAACAAAATCTACTCTAACTCTTTCTCCATTTCCCACGAACACCTTCAAGTCATCCTTGTTTGGCACCCTCTTTGTTTTGAATCCCTGCAAAGAGTTAGTCACATGAACTGTTGCACCACTGTCTAACCACCATGAATTAGATAAAACTTCAACTGTATTAGATTCATAAATCACAGAGACATTTTCATGCTTACCTTTTCCCTTTTGTTTGTCCAACCAGCGCTTGTATCTTCTGCAATCTCTCTTTAAATGTTCAAATTTCTTGCAGAAGAAACACTTCAAACCTACTGGACCCGTGCCCTTTGCAGACTCATCTTTCCTTTGCTGCTTATCTGTGTTCTTGTTTTTGGTCCATTCCTTTGGTTTAAACTTAGTATCCTGCACCAAATACACTTGTTCTTTTCCTTTGTCCTTTCTGATACTTTGTTCTTCCTGCACACATATACCTATCAAATCAGCAACTGACCATATCTCCTTCTGAGCAATATAAGTAGTTTTCAGTTGTCTAAAAATGCTAGGTAGAGAATTAATAGCAAAGTGCACCATCATGGTTTCATCCACATGGACTTTTAGAGCCTTCAGCTTGTTTCCTATCTCAACCATGTTCAGAATATGAGTTCTTATGCAGCCTTCTCCATTGTATTTCATATCTGTTAGCTGGCTCATGAGTGAACCAATTTCAGCTTTCTTGGATCTTTGGAAGTTTTCTGCAATAGCTTCCATGAATAGCTTAGCACTCTCAGTTTCAATAATACTGCCTCTGACCTCTTCTGAAATAGACCTCCTCATGATCAGAATTGCCATTTTGTTGGCCTTAATCCACTTTGCATATTTAGTCTTAGTCTCAGTAGATGCATCATTCGCAGGTACTGATAGAGCTTAATCAGTAAGAACCATCTCATAATCCAGAAGTCCAAGAGCAATTTCCACATCTTCTCTCCATTTCTTATAATTTGAGCCAGTGAGAGTTCGAATCGAGTTATGATTGACTGTACATGTTTAAAACAAGATAAGCACTTTATATATAAATTTCCCCAGAACTTTAATCAAACATACTTAATCACATCTTTGGACAATGATTCAAGCATGCTTATTGACACTGGAAAACGAGTAGATGTGGATTTCCTGAGCAAAAGATCTTCTACATCTTTAGACAGAAGAAAACCTTTCACTAATCCATATCTATCCATGTTCCATGTCGATCCACCATGATGCAAGACATATCAAACTGCTGACATCTTTGGACAGAAAGCCTTTCGACATGTTTTGCATCATGGTGCAAATTCTGATCATAAACCTTGAGTATAGTGATCATGCAATGGTTGAGTCGCTTTGGCTTACTCAATCACGGCACAAGAACTGTAAGCAATGATCTGTAGAAAACTTTAAGAACATGATAAAGTTCATACTTTATACTGTTATCATGTTCATACTTTATAACTTAAAACTGTCAGTTATTTATTCTTTAATTTTCCTGCACGAGTTTGTTAGGTATAACATGATATAACTTAAGCTCTAATACCACATGTTAATTCCTTAAAGCCATAACATGTTTAACACTAACCTGAGTCTGACATGGTGCTGGCGCAAGGGCTGGATGATGCTGGAAACGATTGGCAGCGCAAGATATAGAAGTTCTTCTCCTGAGAATCCGATCCTTATAGCTATAACTCTGATGGGTGAATTTCTGTTTAGCTGTGTTGTGTTATTCGGATCTAGGAGGGAGCCTTCTATTTATATGCATCTCTCTAAGTGTCTTGCCCATCAAGAAACACTTAGAGATATCCTTCATGCTATAGGATTAATCCATTCCAATCCTTGTAGAACTAGGAACCCTTAAGCCTTCATTATCCTTATTGAACACTGTTTGAGGCTTGCCTAATCGAGATAGGTTTTGAGTTCCTAATAAACAATAAGTCTTTGTAATCCTAAGTTGATTAGAAGATCACTTTAGTAGGTTTAATGTAATAAACCTTCTTACATTGCAAGCAACATCAAAGGTATATATATGTTATCAGGAGCTAGCATCTTCAAAAGTGCATGTGTCCCAATGTGAGCAAGCGCTGATTTAATCCTATCATGCCCTTCAAGATCATCGACATAGTGTGAGACAACATTCCCCTTGTTCATAAGTTTCCACCAAAACAGCAGGATGCACAAAGTGGATGCAAATGGGCAGCTTCCCTTGTCAAATGGGCAACTTGAGACATGATAAAAACTGCAAACTGCTGTACACTCTCATCCAATCTCCACCACTTTAAAGCGGGAATGAAGTTTGAAAGTTTTGCTACCAAAACAGGAGGAGGCACAAGTGGATACAAAGGCTTGGGGAAAGAGACATCCTTCCATACTTGTCCATTTCATCTAGCAGGAAACGTATATATAGAATCTGTATTGGGGAAGACGGAGGCCAACTCTAACAATTGTCCGCTTCTGGACAGCTGTGTTTCTCCAGGCTTGTAACAACGGCATTTGCAACTTTCCTAAAACCTCTCAATGTTGCAAATATCAAGCCAATTTAATTAGCACTATATATATATATATATATATATATATGCAATTGCCAAAGTTATTCATGCGGGACTTTCTTATATATAGATGTTGAACAGTAATTTATCAAAGAATGAGAAGTAATGCAGTCACTTAAAAGATGTATTATTTCAAACTTGAATAATATGTCTTTTTTATTTTAATTTCTATCTAATAATACAAAATCCAATAAATTTTTCAACACATAATTGTTATTGCACTTCCATTCTTACATCTCAGTGCCCGTTTGACATTGCTTATTTGGGGTTATAAATGATTATTTTGAAATTTTTGAAAGCCCAACCTGTTTGGTAAAAGATAATAAAATCACTTATTTTGAATAATTGTTGTGAGAGAAAGCAATTAGGGAAAGCAGGTGATGAGCTGCTTTCAAATTTTTTTTTGATTATGCAGGAATCAGTTTTGAAGAGACACTGGGTTTAATGAAACTTTCAAAATTCCAAAAATAACCCTGTGTTTTTTTTACCGACCGCACTTCTAACAAAAAGTTTAACAGACGCCAAACTGTTTTCTTTCACAGCTAATTTTTCTCACAACAAATCTAACAGTGATCATTTTTATAGCACAACAACGCGATGGCTTTTAATATTATGCTAGCTATCCCTTAAAAAGGAGAATTTACCTGAAAATAAATTATTCCTTTTTGCTCCCTTATACAGATATTTATAATTTCCTTTTATATAAATTATTCTAGCTATTCTATATGGGTGGAGTAATGGAAATTACAGAACTACCCTTAAAATCCCTAGAAATCCTCCTCTTATATTTCATTTCTTTGGGTGATGGTCTTTTCCTTTCTCACTCTCAGACCCGCCGCTCGTTCAAATTTTCTCTCATCGGCGCATCTACTTGTCTCATTATCAAACCAATTACTCTCTCATTCTCAAATTTTCTTTCCGTACGATCACTCTCACATTCTTGATTTTAGCCCAAACTCAGAGGTAAGAAACTTAACTCGAGCAACATATGTAATTATAACAGTTGAATATTATAATGACTGATTCGATTAGATTAGATTTATTGATGGTTATTGATATGCATAAATTCTAGTATGTATATGAGAAAAAGTTCCTTGATTTGAGCTACATATTTTTTTTTTCTTTCAATTTTTTTGGTAAGAAGTCTCCTGTCATTTTTGTTCGAATATTGATTCGCATATATTTGAACTTTGAGCTATATAAATTACTAATCCATATCTATACATTCAAATAAGCATGATGATGTCCATATATATAGTATCCTTCTGTTGAGGGATCCTTCAAATAATTTTATTTGGGGGTCCTATACGAATTTTTTTCAAACGATCTAAATCATCTATTTTTTAAAGTCTATATTTATAGATCATCATTGGAAAAAATTAGATAAATCGAAAACCGTTTCAATATTCAATTGTGTCATACAAAATCAATGAACAGGTGCTTCAAGAAAGTACTAAAATTTCAATAACTCAATTGAGTGGTCAAATGATATCAGATTCAAGTGATTATTTTGTAAAGATGACCTTGGAATGATCTAAAAAATAGATGGTTTGGATTAATGAAATAAAATGCGGAGTGAGCCATGCAATAGTGTCCCTCAAATAAGCTTATTTGAGGGATCCCTCAATGGAAGCTCTCTGTATATATATATACAGTTTCATTCTATTGAGGGACACTCTTTAGGGTCCTCTATGAATTTTTTTCAACGATCCAAACTATCTATTTGTTAAATCTATATTCATAGATCATCCTTGCAAGAAATTAGACAAATCAGAAACCGTTTCGACATCCAATTGTGTCATACAAAATCAATGAACACGGTGCTTCAAGAAAGAACTAAAATTTCAATAACTTAATTGAGTGATCAAATTATATTCAAGTGATTTTTTTAAGAGATGATCTTTGAATGATTGTCTAAAGATCAATGGTTTGGATTAGTGAAATACAATGCAGAGTGGGCCCTACAACAGTGTCCGTCAAATAAGCTTATTTGAGGGATCCCTTAATAGAAACTCTTTGTGTATATATATATATACTTAAATGAATTCTTGAATTCTTGTTCAGATGTTTATGTAACTTTTTAAACTTATAGATTTCAAATTCTATTTGGTCGATCATTTGAGAGTAGTGGTTTGTAAGGCAGCCTCTCTTGTTATTAAATGGACATGTTTCCCTCATGTAAGGATTTGTAACTTTAGGGGTTGCTTTTGTCACTCTTTAAAAGACATATCATATGTAACGCTTGTTAAGAACAATCCTAATTGTAGACCACAATCAATGAATAATTAATATTTTGTGGTGCGCATACACAACATGCAGATGGACGTGAGCTGCTACCAAAGAAGACCAAAAGAACCAAAGCTTCTGTTTCCCATGATCATTGAGATTCTGAGCTGGCTACCGGTGGAGTCATTGCTCAGATTCAAATCTGTCAACAAAAACTGGTCTTCGTCGATGGAAGAATACAGCTTCATTTCAAAGCATATGAATCGGACAAGACCTGTACGACTAAAATATCGATTGACAAAGCAACCTGGCTACATAGCCCTTGGTTCCGAGGAAAATTACGAGTGCATGTTCATTGTTGCTGGCTTGGTTCTAGAGAAGCATTCTTCCAGCCAAGTTTGCCGCATCAGAAATCCAGCCACCCACCAAGTGCTTTACTTGCCTGATGCCCATGTTGGTGTCAACCTAATGGTATCCACTTTTAATTCATCGATTGGTGAGGTCAAATTGGTAGCTTCCTACCGTGAAAACAATGAGGTAGGGTTTGAAGTTTTGACAGTTGGCAAAGATGAGAATTGGAGACCTTTGAAATACCCTAATCAGGGTTTGTCAAATAAACAGGCCAAAAGAAGACAGTTTCTTCTAGCTGATAAGGCTGATGCTAGGGTTTGCTATTGTGCTGAAACCCTAACTGATGGACAAGACATGTACTTAGAAGTTCACTGTCTTGATCTCTGGAGTGAGACATTCATGACAGCCACTCTGCCCGGGGGAGTTTTTTCTGATTTGAGCAAAGCTCGGATTATCAGTTGGAACCAAAGTATAGCTGTGGTTGATATAATTGATGAAGCTCTTCATGCCTTGGTGTTAGAAGACTTCAAGGAGCAAAAATGGAGCCGATACAAGAACATTGTTCCAGTGAAGTTTTTGAAGAAAACCCGATTTCCGGAAGGTGGATCTATTGTTCCTTCCAGTGTTGATTCTGATGAGCTCAGGTTTGTTTATAATAATGGGGAGATAGTTCTTGTGTACGATATGAAAATGCACAAAGTTAAGAGTTTCATACGTCGAAGGTTTGATGGGGAAGGTTGGGGAAATCATAGGCCAAGCTTGATGAGTTTCGAGGGAATGAGGCCAGAAGAGGAGGGTGCAAGTACAAGTACAACCCAGGAATGAAGATATTATAATCAGAGCAATTATAGTTTCATTGATCAGCATTTTAATTTTTCTATAGCTAGCTAAGCTAGTACTTATCTTAAAAGAATGTTTTTATGTTAGTTTAATTGAACCACATTTTTGACTTTTGTCATGTGGAAACTCCTCGAACTATATAATGAGTTATGAGCTGATCATCATTTATCTATTTTGAAAACTATTATTATACAAATGACTTTTTTAGTTGTTGGAAACATTGCCATATCTTGGTTTTCAAGCTTCTAACTCAGACCCTAGTCTTTTCATCAAGAAAACAACAACTGATTTGGTTATTTTGTTGTTGTATGTGGATGATATTATCATCACAGGCTCCAATGCTATTTTAATTCAGACTGTTATTGATTCTCTTGCTGAAGTCTTTGATATGAAAGATATTGGTAAACTCACTTACTTTCTTGGCCTCCAAGTACAATACCAAGACAATGGGGCCCTGTTTGTGCATCAATCTACATATGCTCAAGATCTGATCAAGAGAGCTGGGATGGACACTTGCAAACCTTGTTCTACACCATGTAAGCCTCATCAACAACTTCTACATACTGATGGAGTCCCTTTATCTTATCCTACATTGTATAGAAGCTTGGTTGGTGCTCTACAGTACTTGACTTTTACAAGGCCAGATATTGCCTATGCTGTCAACACTGTCTGCCAATTCATGACTCAACCTACTGATCTTCTTATGTGTCATGTTAAACGCATCCTTACCTATTCCCAGGGTTCAATGGTTGTTATAGGTTTTTGTGAAGCAGATTGGGCCGGTGATCCTAACACTCGAAGATCTACCACAGGTTATGTTGTCTTTCTTGGGCACAATCCTATATCATGGTCTTCCAAGAAACAGGCCTCAGTTTCTCGTAGTTCTACCGAAGCAGAATACAAAGCCTTAGCTCACTGTGCAGCTGACATTTTTTGGATCAGACAGTTATTACGTGATCTGCATATCTCTATTCTAGAAGCTCCAATTCTACATAGCGATAATCTCTCTACCTTAGCTCTCAGTGCCAACCCAGTTCTCCATTCCCGTATCAAACATCTGGAGATAGATTATCATTTTATTCGAGAGAAAGTTCAAAGCAAAGATCTCGTCATTCAATATGTGCCAACTGATGAACAAGTTGCTGACATTCTCACAAAAGGCTTGCACAGTCCTCTCTTTCACAATCATTGTTCCAATCTCACAAAAGGCTTACAGCTGGCATTGTAACTAATAGCACGTGGTTAAGATTCCAATATAGTTAGATGGTTAATAGTCTGTTTAGTGTTGTGTTAATAGCTTATAAAAGCTAAGTCTCTCTGTAATAGGATTCATTCTGTATATTCTGAGAATTAGAGCAATCAATCTAGAGGTTTCCTATTCTTTCTTTGCTTACTTTCTTCTTCATTCTTGCAATGGTTATCATGGTTATCATATCATTCTAAAAAGACAGGAAATTTATAAACGACGGGAGAAAAAAAGAAGAAAAAAAAAAAACATAGTTTCTCATTACTTAACATAGAAGAAGAGTCCGCCAAGTGGGATGAAAATCCATGCTCATTGGAGATGAGCCCTCATTTAGTGTCAGGGCAAAAGTAGTGGGCAAAACATTGGGTATGGCAACCGCGGACAGGTGACTTTGGCCAAGATCAGTGACAGTTGATTTTACCTAAACAAATGAAAGAAAACCAAGGTCAAGATACAGAAGTATAACAACTATGCAATGTGTAAAATGACGACACATTTCAAACATAAATTAGAGGGTACCAGTACCCAACAACATCACTTGAAGAACTAAAATAAAATACCTGGGCTCTTTGCAGCATTGAGAGATACTGCTCCCGGAGAGTGCATCTTGTGTTACAGATAAATTTTTGGCTCAGCAGAAGAAGTTGGAAGTGGATTTGATGTTGCTTGTGAAGGCTAAATACAGAAGGTTAGAGCAATCTTAGAAGAAACCGGAAAGACTAAACAAAATCTTGTTTAAAAATAGAAAAAGAAAATCAGCTAGTATGGCTGATGAGCAGGAAACCTTGGTTAATAAGGACCAATATGAAAAGAATTTCAGTTTACCAGAGCATATCTTACTTGCAAACTGTTCCCAGTCGATAGAGACAAAGACAAACAGCCATTCACAAACACGATCAATGAAAAGGGTTTTAATAACTGGATTTGGACAAAAATAAGTAAGTGTAGACACCGAGCAGGACATTGGTTAATGAGGACAAATACTTAGGAAAAATAAATTTATGTCACCATAACATATCTTACTTCCAAATTGTTTTCAATTGGTTGAGGCAAAGGAACATTTTCCTGTGGTTCACAAACATGATCAACGAAAGAGTCTTAATGACTGGATTTGGACGAGGGTCTTTCACTACAAGAAAACTAAGTATTTACTGTGCACTATTTACAGCGTGCACGTGTTGCGCGCCTTAAAAGGTTAGTTTTTATGGCGTGGATTCCATGCACGCCGTAAATGGATCTTTGCCTTCGTTTATTACGGGGTGCTTTAGGTGCACGCCATGCTTTTTTGTTAATAATGGCGTGCTAGTCACATGCGCCGTAAAAAGGTTGTGCTTCATGCCGTAAACTATATTACCGTTAATGGCGCACTTTGTTTGCACACCGTGAAATCCATTCCCCCCCCCCCCCCCCCCCCCCCCCCCCCTCTTCTTCCTTCGCCGCTCTTTCTTTTCACCAAATTTAAGTTTGGTGCGTGATATTCCTTCCAAACCCTCATTGTAACACCCCTACTCCAAATTTATTGCCTATTTTAATTTATTTAAGTGAAATTACGAATTTACCCTTGGGATAGGGGTAATTTGGTCATTTCTTATCCGAAAGAAATTTGGGAATTCCGGTTGTACCGTTGCGTAGAGCACGACGAGATGAGCCCGTAGACACGTAGTGGGCTCGAATCGGAGTTGTAACGAGAGATTACGATAGAATGAAACTCAGTGGCACGATCGTAATTATTTGGAAAAAGGGATTTTTAATAAAAAGTCAAAAATGCCCTCAGTTTCTCTCTCTCTCTCTCTCTCTCTCTCTCTCTCCTCCCCGTGAGCAGCATCCCTCCCCCTCCGGTTTTTCTGTACAAAGCCACCGCAGCGACCACAGTCAACAACGGGCCTCGAGACCGGTTGGGTTCGAACCGCCGCCACCCCAGCAACCTGTCTCGACGTATGAGGGGAGATATGTGATATTGTGTTGAGATCGCACGTGTCGTAGGAGTAGCCGACGTGTTTACAGACCCCATACGTGGCCGGGTGTGTCCCGACGTATGAGGGGAGATATGTGATATTGTGTTGAGATCGCACGTGTCGTAGGAGTAGCCGACGTGTTTACAGACCCCATACGTGGCCGGGTGTGTCCCGACGTATGAGGGGAGATATGTGATATGATGATGAGGTCCCACGTGTCGCAGGTTTATCCGGCGTGCGGACAGGCCCCATACGTGACTTTGGATGTTTCGGCGTATAGGGAGGTTTTGGTGAGTTGTGAATTAATGAAAAAAGGTTTTAGGAAGGAACTACGTGTGGCTTGATCCCTCAGTAAGGGTACGTAGGCAGCCTGAAGTTACTAGGTGCAGCCGCGGGTTAAACTTTACTTTTGTGTGTTTCGAGTGTGGTGCAGACCTTGTCATTGGTCCTGAGATTCAAGTGAGGTCGAGAGGTGTTCATGTTAGGAGGTTGAATCATCGTATGTAGAGATTGGGAAAGTTAGAGGTTGTAAACTTTGCTTTCGGCATTCATAAGTGTGCTTGAACTTATTTTTGCCATGTTTAAGGTATTTTTATTTAAGGACTTTGTTGGCAATTCTATTTCGGAATATTTGAAGGCCGGAGGCCAATTAGATGAATTGCATGTTGTTATCTTATGCATGCTGCCGGTTGGATTATATGAGTTGTGATTTTATGCAGGTGGAAATTTTGGGGAATGTTCAATTTACAGGGGAGACTGCTGAAATTTCGGCAGAAAGTCTCGCATCCTTACCTTCTCTTTTGTAAAAAGAGGTTACAGTCTAGTGAGTGGGCCCGACATCGGGGTGATGTCGAGGTTTCCACAAGATTCGTCTCGGGTTCCGGGAAATTCTGGGCGGGTCCTGTCACTCATACTCCCTCTCATCTCTTCTCAGACTTCGTCTCTCTCTCTCTCTCTCTCTCTCTCTCTCTCTCTCTCTCTCTCACCCTAAATCCTAGGGGTGGCATTTTAAACCGAAAAACCGAAAAATCGCAAAAATCAACCGACAATTTACCGCAATGAAACCGCAATCGCGGTAAATCGAACCGCATTTTCGGTATTAAGAACCGAACCGCATTTGCGGTTGTGGTTGCGGTATTTGATTTTCAAAACTTGCAGCCGCACAGATGATGAGGTTGAATTATACAAGGAAATGGAACATATGACAACTTGTAAGTAATTAGTTTATTTATGCTAATGTTATTTATACTTCTTCTTATAATAAAATGTACTAAACTATGTTGTTTTATTTGTAGATAACATTGGTGCTCAAACAACACAACGGAGTTCTTCAAATCCACTCACCACCAACACTTGAGTTTGTAACATTGGTGCATTGCATTTTCCTTTTAGTTTGTAACTTTAATTAACTTTGAATTGGATTTTTCTTTTTGGTTGTAACTTTAATTCATTTTGCTTTGCATTTTCCTTTTGGTTTGTAACTTTAAAGGATTTGGAATTGGAATACTTGAGAAGTTTAACTTTAATTGGAATGCTTGGAATTGTAACTTTAATTTTCTTAGGTTGTGAATGCTTGAGAAGTTGAGGAGATTGTGAATTTATATATGCTTGAGAAATTGAGGTTGTGTATTTATTTATTTAGGTTGTGAATTTATATTTTTGTGAATGCTTGAGAACTTGCGGTTTTAAACCGCTAATTTGTGGTAACCGAACCGCATGCGGTAAACCGCAAAACGCGGTCGGTTTGCGGTTTCAAAAATCACCAAACCCAAATAGTCGGTCGGTTTGCGGTTTGAGTAAAAATTCTCGGTTACCGAACCGCAACCACCCCTACTAAATCCCACAACAACCATCCCTCTGTTCTTGAATTTCTTTTAATATATATTACTTAAAGAGTATAGCCGTGACCTCAAGAGGAATATTGATCCGAAGGGTTATTTCAGGAGTATAGCCGCGCGGCTATACTATATAATAAAATAAAATAAAAAGGACCAGCCTAGAGGCCTAGGCGGCCCATTTTTGGATTTTTTTTACCGTATAGCCGTTCGGCTATACTCTTTAAATATTAATGCATTCGAATATTTTAAGGGTATAGCCGCTCGGCTATACGCGTTGAATACATTCGAAACAAACACGGAGCTTGCAGACGCATAGGACGGAGCTTGCAGACGCAGTCAAGTTTTGGCTGCTTCGTCCTCCTTGTTCGGCAACGAAAAATGACCCAACCCGCCTAGGACGCCCGCCCAGCCGCCTAGAGCCCTCCTAGCCGCCTAGCGCCCGCCTAGCCGCCTAGCCGCCTAGCCGTCCGCCTAGCCCCATTTTTTGAACACTGCGATTGACTGGAAGTCTGAAACCCGAAATTGAAAAAGTTTACCTGCAAATTTGAGCTTGAGATTGAGATTTGAAAGCCGAAGCAAGCACAGGTCATGGGAACCCTAAATACAAAATTTGCTGACTTAGGGATTATTTCCTGTCTTGTGAGTTTTGCTACCATAATTGGAATTATTTTCTGTTTAGTTTCTCTTCCTGTTGATTTGAATGGTCTGATTATGAATTTGCTACAATGTTATGAATGCGGGGTCGAAACTTGGCTCCTTTACTTGATAGTATTTTCTAATTTTCATGCCATATCGTTAAGGAGTACCATTTTGACTCGGTTATTGTGGATTTCATATCAGTCAATATTAAAGATCCGGGAATGGGCTTGCAGTTGCATTGTAATCTGTTGTTTTTTTGTGTCACTACTGGTTGGTGTAATTTGAGGAAAGTGTTTGATCCGAATCTGTTTTTCTTCTTGTTTTGCATGTGGGTAGTTTAATTAAGTGGTTGGATTCTAC